GAGAACCTCGTCCACTGGCAGGAATCTGACCTCGAAGCCACTTGCATTACACTACATTATAGTCGAGCATGTTAATACTCGGCTATACTATATAGTGGCTTTTCATAGTATATATCACAACCCCTGCTGTTCTCCAGGTCGCACGAGCGCAAAACCATGCAGCAGCAGCGAAACATGGTAGCTCGGTAGCTCGGGCAGGTATCCCTAATAAGGGAGCTCAGATGTCATCCAACTCCGGCTCTGAATGCCTGGTAAAGGATGGAGCACGCGATTGGATCCGAAGCCGCCCAAAAGAGACAGAAACAAACTGAAGGAGCGATCGAAGATTCGCTAGCACGCCCTGTTCTCCGGGCCAGCCCGCGCCCGAAGCGCTTTGAAACTGGAACTCAGAGGCCTAATACTGCGAATAGACCCTCTCTAAGACAAGGTTACCGGCCTGATCTGGCTCGTAGTCTTCGACGGATGTGTCTGGCCATTTGATCTTGACCTTTGACAGATCCTGCGCCGACTTTAAGACAGAAAGCAGCATCTGCAACAGCAAGAGAAGTTGGGCTAACAAGGCTTCAAACGCTGGTCTGATGCTGGCCGTGCACTTAAGCCTTATGAGCACACTCGGTGTTGAAAAATGGTGATGGCGGGTGGTGATGCTGACGACGGTGATGATGATGATGATGATGATGATAACGATAACGATAGCGATGATGATGACGATGGTGATGATGATGATGATGATAACGATGATGATGACGATGGTGATGGTGATGATGATGATGATGATGATGATGAAGCTGATAGTGACGGTGATGATGCTGTTGGTGGTGATGATGTTGATGATGACGACGATGATGATGAAAAAGAAGAAGCGGATGATGAATACCAGACACAGTACTAGCCACTGCACTGTGTACAGGAGCGCATGGCCGAAGAAGCATACCACAAACAAGCCTAGAAATGCGACAGCTAATGGAAAAAGCTGCCGCTTCTTCAGTTGCGTTGGCTAACTCCAGTTCCATATCATTGCAACACCATGTGCTGCATAACATGCAGCATTGCTATCTTCTTCGTTTAATACCACCACATATCACCACCATCACCGCTTGCACAAATTTGGCATCTGCATCATCGTTGAACTGATGATTGTTGTCCTCGGTAGCTGTTGTAGCAGTGCTTGGAGGACCGCATACCTGTCAAAACTAATCCTTACAAACATATGTCATAGAAGGGTTGCTGATCCTTTGACCAAGATTAGCAGCATTGAACTTGATTATTTCAACCGCTGTGATTAATCTCATGTCCGTCAGAACTCCTCCTCTTGGTCCTTTTCGGCCACAGTCGCTTCGGTCCACCTACCATGGGAGCTTCAGAAAGTAGATGTACCGTACTTAGGGCTCCTAAACACGTTGATCCCGACACTTGGCTCGGTATTCGGGTCCGAACTTTCTGAAACCGAAACCATCAAAAACCACCGCCAGCCATGCCATGTCACATGTCACGGTTACAGCACATCTGTGGGACGGCCTCCCGTTATGAAGAACTTCCACTGGCGATCCGGCCTCATCGAACACGGACAAGTCAGCTGGACAGATGCAGAAGCGAATATGAAGAAGGGCTCGAAATCCAAGCTTTCAGCTTTGTAGGCTATCGCTTCCCTCTGCGCTTCCTGGCAAACTGACACTTGACGGTGTCGCCCATGCGGGTTCGAGGACGTATTCCAAGGATACCCCGAGTCCTTGCTTCCCTGGCTGCGCAAGATGAGAACCTGCGGTCAGCTTTCGTTGTTGGTGGTTGGCTTTCCGGCACTGTGTTCTCAGCTTAAACATACATGGAACTTGAAGATGCATATTACACAAACATCCCCAGGGTTAGAACGCACCTCAAACGGATGAGGAAAGGAAGTCGAACACCCCCGGGCTTTGGGTTTGGGGCTTGAAGTTTAAGGTTCAGGCTTCATCGCTTATGATATTTTGGGGCTGCGGTTTTAAGGACTCTCCGCTGTGCCTTGAACTCCTCCTCCTCGGGCAGAATCTCCCCAGGCCTGACATCCAGCAACAAATGCCATCAGGTCCTTTCTTGGAGCGGAACGAGCGGAGAAAATCTACTGCCCCAGTGAAAGGAGGGGAGTAAGTCGCGGCAGCACAGTTGAACGGAGTACATCATGCTGAGCGGGTCCCCCAATTTGAACTTTCCGCCCCCTCTGCGTCGCTCGGTTGTGCTACAGTTCTCCACATCCATGGTGCCCAGAAAAGTAAGTTCTTTCGCCGGGGCGGTGGTTGGCAGTCATGCGGCAGGGTCTCTCTCGTTCCCTCTTTGATTTGCTTTGCTAGGGGGGGAGCACAGGCAGTCCTCGTGCCCCGCGCTTAAACGCACCCCCATCCTCCATTTTGTGAGGTGGGGCCGAGCTGCAGCTGTATAGGGATTGGTCCCCAGAAGGAAAAAGGCCCAAGTGGGGCTGTGTGCTTGTGCGAAAAAGACCTTAAACACATGCTTGAATTGTTCGGCCCAGCAAGCCGTGGGCTTGCTGCAGGCGCGCCACTCTGAGGTTCAAGGCGAGAACGAAGCTTGCGCGTGTGCCCCCTTCGCATGAATTAAAGAAGTGGATGTGCTGTATCAATATGGTGACGCAACTATACGCAACTTCCCTGTTGCTCGTCTGTTTGGGCTGTTCACGGATCCCGGGTTCCCCGGTCACAACACTGACGTGAGGTAGTCCCACACCTAGCATAGAGCATGTTGTGGATCGGCAAGTCGGGTACCCCTTGCGCAGGGCCGCCGAGCGCAATCACAAAGTCGGTATCAGCGTCCCTCACTCGCCTGGGCGCCGGCACCGCTCAGGAGTGTAGTCACCGAGCCCCCCGTCAAGGGCACTGGTCTCGAGGACGCGTAGTGCTGCACTGTGGCAGTGCCGGTCGGATGGCGGCAAAAGAATAGGCTGAGTTTTGTGCTCGGCGGCCTGCTGTCTCTCTCTCTCTCTCTCTGGCTCTCGCGGCCAGGTTTTCTGCCTGGACGGAGGGATCGACACCTCGAACCGCGCACGGTTCTTTCTTTCTGCTGGGCTTAGGGGTCGTCTGCGCGACCCTCAGGCCTTTGGCCCGCCCAACCAACGCATGTTGTATTAAGTGCTTGGCATTGGGGCCTCCTCTGACTGCTGCGCCAGAAAACGAAATCGGCTCCATGTTCCAAGCTCCAAGCCCCCGCCCCGAACACTACGGTTGATGATATAAATACACCATAATTCCCATAGTTTAGGGTCCTTAAGGCTTAAGGCTTAAGGTAATGCAGGATTTATATCAGCAACAGTAGGACATCCAACCTGCATCCCGTACTTGTTCGTTATTTATGCATGCGTTTCCTCTCGTTCTTATTGCTACGTAGACGTAGACACCGAAAGAATAAGAACGAGCGAGCGAGCGAGCGAAAAATCTATGCCGCAACTCGAAGATCGTCAATCGGAAAGCCTGAACCGGCTCAGTCAGCGCGCCTCCGATGAAGCACGTGGAGGATGCTTTGCCGACCCTGTAAGTGCAGGGGCGTTACCAACAGGTCCAACCCCACAAGTCCACGTTGAGGTTTGCATAGTGCAGTGTGCCATTTCGGATCTGTGGCACGCACCACGCGCAGCCGAAGACTGCACTGTCTGTCCTGGACAGGAGAACCCCTGTGGTCCTGTTACAAGTTTCCCGCGGTTACAGCAGTATAGTTCCTTAACGACATCTCCATGTTGAAAGGAGTGGCCGGGGTTTACTAAGCCTGCCGGTGATCTTCACCCAGCTCTTGATGCTGTCACGGCGGTTCCCTGAACTAAGCCAGTCCACTAAGCCACAGTGGAGCAAAGCTTCCTAAGCCTTGGAACTTCGATCCAAGTCCATAACACAGGATCGAAGAGACTACCGACAGGGGCTAGGAGGTTGGAGTGCTTGGAAGACGGTTTGGGCGTTCTGGGGCCTTGGTGGCTTATCAGAGTTTGGAAGCTCATATCCTGGATACCCAGAGTCTCCATGCCAACGCGTAGCACAATGGCTGAGAAGCTCGACGCTGGAGCCACGAGACGATCCCAAAAGGCCTCCTGATCAGAATACACACCAAGAGAACCCTCCGAAGCCCTCATCTGGAAAACCCAGCACCCCTAAACCCTAAACCCCAAGCAACTCATGATTGGCCGGCTGAACATAGAAGTTTACTTACCCTCAGAATCCTACTTGGCACCCTAATACCCAAGCGTGGCCTCCCGAAGTATCTCGGCGTTGTTCGCGTGAGCCTTCTGGAGGTCCTGGCATTGGATGTCCGGAAACTGAAGGAAATTCGACAACTCATGTTTACGAATGCCGCACATAAGATCGAGCACCTCTAGCATTCCAGCCGCACAGCTGCGTTCCTTGGTGTCGCGGTCTGCATCCATAAACTATAAGCCTCAAGTTGTTGAATGCATCGAACGCTGAGCCGGGGATTCTGCCCATCGAGCGCCCGTGCACATCACCTGAGAAAGATCTTCCGATTCTCTCGTGCCGTTAGTGGGTACCATGACCGCTGACAGTAAGTAAGCTCAGAATTTGTGCTATATTGTGTTACTGTCTCTCTCTGTGTGTGTGTGTGT